TGTACATGGCCCACGGATCTTCATGTAAAGTTCTAGTTGATGATATAATAATACTCGAACTTTGTGGGTAACCCACCTGTGCACTTATTTTTATTTGTCATCATAATTGATGAGTGAAAACAATAACAATATTATTATTATTTTTGATGGGTAGAGTAAATACACATTCTTACTTATATTATATTAATTTTTTTTTTTTTATGAACATGAATGTACAAAAACATATGCTTATAAGTATTTCTTGTCATGAACATCATTGAATTGAATAAAAAAGTATTATTGTTATCATTACGGAGTGCATCCAAGCATAAATATGGTCACTTCTTTAATTTTGCTTTCGCTCTAGAATTTCAACAATTTGAATTGAAAATTTGCAATTTGATCGGAGTTGTTTTGACAACAAAATTAGCCAAATTACAAATTTATATTTTACAATTAATGTATTGCAACTTCTTTTAGGCTTCTCTCTTGTCGACCTATTTTTGGGCTTTGTTTCACAGTCCAATGGACAGTTTGGCCGAAATGCCGCCATGTAATTATTCACATATATATATATATATATATATATATATATATATATTTAGTTACTTAAATATTCAAAAAAATAATAATAAAAAAATAATAATTTTCATTCTATAATTTAATGGTTATTGACCACATATCCTTACGGATTGCCTTTATATAGATAATAGACATGGTACAAAACTTGCTTGGTCACCGACCGAGGGAACAAAAAAAAAAATATACTCCATGTATGAATACCTGTTTAACAAATATTCATGTGACTCATATGGGGTGGGGTCCACATTTAAGTAGTGGCACGTGCATGGGATTACATACATACCAACGCTAAAGCTTCGTTTCGACAACTTTTATATAATATATATATATCCAGTGTATTCCTTTTCAACGCCACTCACATGTCCTTTTGGAAACTTTTATTGTTGATTCACTTATTCTGTTATATATGTATGTATGAATCATGTATGGGCACGTACCAAATACTAAGTGCTATTGTTGATATGCAGATTAAAGTTCAAATAAACCTTAATAAGCACATACTAGTAAATAAAGGATTAATTTAAAATTCTAGACCTTATACAAAGTCTGATGAGACTTGGATCAATAATTCAACTTAAAATGATAAGTTTAAGTTGTAGTTTGATAATTCAATTCAACGCTTAATTCTGATTTATTCAATTAAATGCATTTTCATAATGCAATTTGAATATCATTAAAAACGGTAAGTGATAAGTGCCACTTAAAATGAAGTAAATTTTAAGAAATTTAATCATCACTTATCACATTTATTTTTTATTTCCCACGTAAAAATCTCAGCACATAAAATTCTACTCTTACAATTTTCATTACTTATTTTTATCAAACAACCGCTAACATAATCTTAATTTGAGAGTCATACTACAAATAACAGATTCACAATAACTCGTTATTATTATCAAAATTGTTTATGAATCAATACTGTATAATTGAAAACCTTATAGTATAGATAATCGAGTGAGAAATACGTAAATGGGGATAGATGCAACAACTCTTATACCATTCCTATTGTATTGTGGAAACAACCAAGAAGGAAAAAACCAAAAAAAATCTCCAATAATTTTATATAATCTTATGTTATATACCACATAACATTAACACATGTACTAGCTAATAGACCAAGGATTGTTCAGAAATTGGAAGATCAAATAGATCAAGTATTGTGCAAAAATTGAAAAGCAACATGGGAGGTTGAATCTCATACTACCCTTGGCCAAACATCCCCCAAACTCGCACCAACTTGCTATTACACTGACTTGAACCCTCATATTTTACTTGAAAGGTAGATATGAGATATTTGGCACTTCTATCAGATTTGAGAAAGAGACAGAGAGAACACTAGTAGGGTTGTAATATTGCACAAATAATTCATACTGTAAGTCTAATATAGTTCAATTGTTCTACCTTAGGCCTGCTAGGTAACAGAATCTGCATGGAGCTATCACCAACTCAATCAAGTTCATGATTAAACTGAAAACGACACGTTTCAAACAAGGAAGGGGCCAGAAAAATGGGGATAGAAGGGTCAATGCTCAACAGAGTCTGTCTATCTGGTATGAGGATCAAAGGTTCCTGAGAGCTAAAAGCCTAAGAGAGAATAATGTGACAAGGAAGAAGAGCAATTGGGGCAGGTGAAGTACTAATGAACATGCCAAAAGCAAGCAAAAGATCAACCGTGTATCAGGCTTTGCAATGGAAAGAAACATGAGCTCTCAAACTATAATACCAGAAGCACTGTGTGTGTGTGAGAGAGAGAGACAATTTGAAACCTGCATATTTGGTCAGTATATAGCAATCAATCAAAAACACAAATACTCCGTATATAATTTCGGTTTTTAATTTTCATAAAATTTTTCCCAATCCATCGATCAAGCTGTAAACGGTAAACTGTCAGATCTAAACAAACACTAAACAGTAAAGGTGGGAGGAAAAAAGACCGATCGAAAACCTAAAAATGCAAGAAATAAACATAACATCCATCACGCACTCCTCTCTCTATAATCCTTACTCTCTTCTTCCTTCACTCCCCTGCAACCAGACTTTGTGGTGGAAGAAGAACATGTCAAAAGCAAGCAAAAGATCACCAGTGTATCATGGCTTTGCAATGGAAAGAAACACAAATACTTGTTGCCAAAATCTAATCACAGACATGAGCTCTCAAACTATAATACCAGAAGCAATTGGCGTAACAGAGTATTTAATTTCCTATTCGATTCACACCTTAGTGGTGTAATCGCCATCATATAGTAAAACTATACTCTCCACATATTCGAAACCTGCATTTTGGTCAGTATATATCAATCAATCAAAAAAACCCAATCATAATTTTTTTTTTTTGTATTTTGATAAAATTTTCTCAATCCATCGATCAAACAGTAAGTAGTAACCTGTCAGATCTAAACAAACACTAAAAATGCAAAAAAGACCAATCGAAACCCTAAAAATGCAAGAAATGAACATAAAATCCATCACACACTCCTCTATACTCCTTACTCATCCTTCAGTCCGCTGCAACCGGACTTAATGGTGGGAGGAAATGAAAGGCCCTTCGCGGCCCTGTCCCAGAGCTTCTTGCAAGCATCCTCGCCATGCTTGTTGGCGAAGTCCATGGTGTACATATAGAACATATGCAGAGCCCTAACCTCGAACTTCTTCTCGGATTTTCCCCTCGTCACCGTTTCATACATCTCTCTCGCCGCCGAGAGGACCTGCATTCAGGCATCAAACTTATCTTTCCAGCCGTCGCATTTCTTCTCGTTCTCGGATTCCATCCTCACTCTCTCTCTCTCTCTCTCTCTCTCTGTCTCTGTCTTTGCGAACAAGAAAAAGCCTCAGTCTCTGTGTACCAATTCTGGCTGTACTATCGGTTAATATACGCGTCTAAGGAAAGTGGAGGAAATTCCATCCACAAATGGGGGTTAATCCGTCTCAATTTACACATGAGCCCTTGTGGTTTTTTTTTTTTTTTTTTTTTTAACCATAAGTAAACATTTAGGTAACATAATATTTAATATAGGTAACATATTATTATATTATAGCAATAAGAGGGAAAACTACATTTAAGTAGAGTTAGGGGTTCTAAATTACATAGTGGTCTATTTTTAAAGTCTAGTTTTCACTTTGATCGAATTAGGAAAAATAATTACACTTAGATTAATTATTATTATTATTTAAGTCTAAAATGTCCTTAAACTCTTATTCTAAAATACTAATATGTCCTTCCAAAATAATATAATCTCTTCACTCAATTAATTGATTTAGAATATAATTCTGGCTTTCTTGCTAGGAGGAAAGGAGGGAAAATTCTATTCTTTTTTTGATGTCTAGCATCATAATTTGTAATAATTTATCTAGTGTGTCTATTGGCTTTTTGGCCTTCAGCATAATATACTGTAGATTAACCTTGATCTTCCACTTGTTGAACAACGCTCTTGTTTCTATGAATCCGTTTTCCCTAATGGAGAGGATCAGCCCCAATACTCGTCTTCCTCCTCTCTCTTCCTCTCACAAGTTGAATTGCGGTCTGGTCGAGGTTGAGTTTTTTCAACTCTTTATTAAAATAGTTCCAAAATCTGATATATACTTTTTCCAAATTGCCCGTCCCATGCATGAAACTTTCTATCATGTGGAATCTATCCAGTTTTTTGTCAATTACAGTATGCCTTAAGACTCCTTTCAATGCCGGTTTCAATTTCAGCTTTGATTTGGTTCTTAAGGGGTGTAGTATCAAGCACTGCACGTTCCTTCAGATCAGGGGCACTATGAGAGGATATGAGAGGATGATGCTTGGGCCTAAAATTCCCAGCAAACTCATTAATGAATTATTTGATTTAAGAAAAATATTTTAATATTTTGAAATGAAAGCTTAGAGGGCATTTTGGACATAAATAATAATTTTCAATGTATGCATAATTATTTTGCCTAATTCGATCAAAGTGAAAACTAGACTTTAAAAATAGACTACTTTGTAATTTAGAACCCCTAACTCTACTTAAGTGTAGTTTTCCTAAAATTAATTTATTGAACCTTTTTTTTTTAGTTGCATGGCCATCCTAAGAGTGACAATAAGTCCATATATATATGTTGATGCCTGAATTATGTTATCGATACCAGAATTATATATATACACGCAATTGAAGAACCGCGGGAAAATAAACATCACCACAAAAAAGGAGATGGATGAATAGACGTGCAATGTGAGTATACTTAAAAGAGAATTAAAAACATATAACTATGAGTGAAGACATTGAAATTTTTTTTACATATATACATTGAATTTTTTTTCCCTTTCTGAAAGGTGGTCTAGCTCCAATTCTTACACATATATAAACCCCCCACTTCCATCCCATTTTCATACATGGCTTTCCCTTCATTTGTCAAACACAACCACTACCACAACCTTTTGCATTCTGTAATCCCATCAAATCTCTCTCACATTCACCATGGTGGATTGCCACATTCTCCTTGGTGGATTGCCACATTCTTCTCCTAACTTTTCCGTCGCAAGGTGCCATCAATCCGTCAAGAACCTCGTACAAATGGGTGTTAAGGTCACCATTATCATTAGTCTCTCTGCTCACTGTCGCATGACCAAATCCAACAGCACAATCCCAAATGGCTTATCCTTATCTGCCTTCTCCGGTGGCTATGATGACGGGTTCAAAGAAGGGGACAACCACGAACACTTCCTGTCTCAGTTCAAAATTCGCAGTTCCAATGCCATGGCGGAACTCAACAAGGCTGGTGATGAAGGCGGCTACACAGTAACTTGTTTGGTCCACACTATGGCTCAACCATGGGTTCCTGAAGTTGCTCATGCCCATCACATCCCATCCGCACTTCTATGGACTCAACCAGCCACAGTTTTTGATAACTTCCACTATTACCTCAATGGCTATGGTGATGCCATTAGAAAAATTGTCAATGACCCTTCAAGCTCCATTCAGTTGCCGTGGTTGCCATTGCTCCCTAGCCGCGACCTTCCATCTTTTCTACTCCCTCCACACAGACAAATACGGCATTCCTGACAATGAAAGAACAGTTAGACTTGCTTAGTACCAAAACCAACCCAAAAATACTCGTAAACACATTTGATGCAATGGGATACTCCCTCTGTCCAAAACGATTTTATAAACGTCTAGACGCATAAAATCGTTTATTCTATACTTAAGTCCAAAACAAAAATTACAAAATAAAAATCACACATTGGAGCAGTGCTATATGGCACCCAAACATAATGGTCTACGTTAATAATCTTGCCCAAATCAATGATAACTCAACTCTATTTTCAGATTATTTCTGTGGTCAGGTTTTGAGCAAAAAAAAAAAAAAAAAAAATGTGGAGCAAAAATAGCTAAATCTACAGGCAGTTTGGGCTATAGTACATATCAGGCATACTTAGACATCTATGGGCTCCATTCTGTAACGACACACAGAGCTTATAAGTTAAGTGTGAAAGAACATACCTGTTTAAAGAGAAGAACCTGTGGGGCATGAAAATAGGTCAGCAAAGCTCATGGAGTTGGAGAAAGCTGCTTTAATTGAGGCAATTACCAGGGCCATTAGTCAAATTCAGAGTTGGTGATGATACAAGTTGCTACTTTTGGACTGACAGTTGGCTACCAAATGGAGCTTTACAGTAGAGTCCTCCCAGCCACACTACACAATACACGAGTTTGAACTACTGCCAAGGTCAACATGTTCATTTTAGGTTTGGAATGGACATTTCCTCTCGTCTCACCCAACTATTCCCTGAGCAACCATCATTTCCACCCCAGTGTTATTTTCAAAGGCCCAAGGCACACTAAGGCACTAGAGGTCCTACGGTAAGAAAAAAGAAAATCTTAGAACTGTGTCACAGCAGCTTCTTCATGTATATATTTGTTTATAAAAGATTTAGCAACCAAACACATTACGGAACAAATAGAGATCTATGCAAATGATTTCACATTACAATAAATCCCAATAGTAATGCAACCGAGTAAAATTAAAACAAGCAGAAGTTTTTGGGAGTGATTTATGAGAGTGAAAAATAATGATCATAGGCTCACATTCGGGCCATCTGCCAATAATATAACCATGAAGGAAAATTAGACATTGATACCTCCTGAACATATATAATCTCAACGTATCGTCCTTACTTCATGAACCATGTCATTAGAAATGTGGTTAGCGAATCTAGAATACACTGTCAAACGACTCAAACCCTACAAGGCACCCACTGAGAATCCTTACTAGGATTTCGAAAAACCAAGTTAGTATGTGTCCCCCTCTTCAAAATAATGATTTTATTTACTTCAAGCCTTCATGTATATAGAACTTAATTGAGTTCTTTCATGGACCATCTCTCTTATAACATAAGATGCTGACGTTGATCTATCGGATTCTAGTGATTGGAGAGTTAATAAACTTGCAAGGCAAACTGATAGCCAATAATAAGGCACAGGACTCCTGAATCTAGCTAATCAGATTCTATAATACCAGCTCCTTAATGATGTTATTATCTTATGTATGTATCCATTTAACTCTGCTATCTTTTAACACCCCTTCCCCAGTAAATTAGAAAAATAAAACGCACATCTATGATCTCTTTCAACTAAGTATATTTCAGAAAAAGGGAAAAAGAAAATAAATAAATAAAATCATTCATATAAACATCTGGCCACAACAATAATAGCTCTCAATCAATCATTATTAACTAACCCTGCACTAGCATCATTAGCATCCAGAACAATCAAGCAATCCACGGGGTGACAGCAATTGATCATGTTAATTAGCAGACATTAAACTTCAAAAAAAAGTTTAACAAGTCCACATACTTTATCAAACAATAATGTGAAGCAGACCTAGGGCTTGGCATGGTAAGGGAGGATGAGCCCTACTAACATTGGGACAGCGGAAACCTGCATGATCAAGTTTCAAACTAAAACAAAACTCTCTTTCCACTTCAAAATACATCAACAACAACAACAACAACAAAACAGCTAAATTTGGATAGGATTAGGGTCCACCACTGTCAATTTGGGAATTAAGGGAAAAACACACACACAAACACAAAATAAAAAAGCAAATAAATACAAATAATGCATTAGCAGATAAAAAGGAAAATGGAGAAATAAAAAACGAATTCCAAAAAATATAAAATACGAATGGCAAAATCAACCCACAAAATAAGAACAGATGACAAAACAAGCATTGAAGCTTTTGAATTAAAACATAGAAGGAACAAACCCTTCCCCAAAACGCAAACAGAACCACTTGATTAAAGAAGCCAAAGCAACCACTAGAGACGTCAATGCAAATTATCTTGAAAAGCTGCATTTCTTCCTCTCCATCCGTCAAATACCACTGGAGATGTCACAACCAAGCCATATCCCATCTTATTTTTGCTGATGACCTCCTCATTTTTTCTCATCCTAACATTGTTTCAGTGCAAGTTATTAAGCAAGCCTTTGATCTCTTCTCATTGCTTTCAGGTATCTCCATCAACCATTCAAAGAGCAATATTTTCCTCTCTGGAGTAAACACACAACTGGAAACTTCAATTCTTGCCACTCTTGGGATACAAAAAGGTTCTCTCCCCATTAGGTACTTTGGTGTTCCTCTCATTTCCACAAGGCTCAAGTCAACTGACTGCAAGGTCCTAATTGAAAAAGTCACAGGAAGAATCTCCAGTTGGACAAGTAGATTCCTATCCTATGCAGGTAAAGTGCAACTTATCAAATCTGTTCTTTGCTCCATGGTTAACTTCTGGGCAACAAAATTCATCCTACCTAACAGCAACTTGGAAGAAATTAGCTGCATTCTGAGGAAGTTCCTTTGGAGACGACAGAATCTTAAAAAAAGAGGAGCAAGAGTTACTTGGAACAATGTTTGTAGACCTGTCTCTGCTGGTGGTCTTGGCATTCCCCATCTACAAACTTGGAACAAAGCTGCAGTTATGAAAGAACTCTGGTTTATGCTCAACCCAAACTGCTCCTCCCTTTGGGTTCAATGGTCAAGATCACATTTGGTTAGGGATAAATGTATTTGGACACTGAAGACCCCTCAACCAAGTTCATGGAATTGGCGAAAGCTTTTGCAACTTAGATTTGCCATTAAACCCTTTGTCAAAATGAAAATTGGGAATGGTGTCAACAACAATTTCTGGTTTGACAATTGGTGTTCTCTTGGCCCCCTTCAGTGTCTAGTCACACAAGAACAACTTTTGAGCACTTCTGTTGATCCTAATGCTAAGGTCAATTCTTTCATAGTTAGCCCTTTTTCCAACCCCTAATGTCCCCTGGTATCCCCTTACCTGGTTCAAGCATGGAATCCCAAAGCACAATTTTATCCTCTGGTGTGCTATTCTGCATAAATTGCCAACGTATGAATGCAAACCAGTGGCACATTGGCACACCCCTAATCTATGTAGCCTCTGCTCATCCCACCCAGAATCGCATGACCACATCTTTTTTAGATGTTTTTTCTCCAATCCCTTGCGGAAATTTCTTCAAGCATGTTGTGCGTTTTAGACTCAGCCTCCATCATGGAGTAATCTTGTCACTTGGGCAATGCTAATTTGGGTGGATAGCAGTGATCTAAGAAGCATTGTCAAGAAAAATTTGCCTTGCTGCTTTAGTATATCACATTTGGATGGAGAGAAATCGAAGATACTTCAGAGGAGGGTCTCTCTCTGCGAATGCTCTAGTCAATAGGGTTCTTGTTGATGTCAGACAGAAATTGTCTTGCTTCTCCGTGAAAGACTACCCCAGTGCCAGACGCATTGTGGTTGAATGGGAGCTTCCTGGTGCTTTCATCCGTCCCCCTCCCATGCCTCCAGATTAACAGAGCTGTCCTCTTCTGTCGGTGCTTCTTCACCATTTGAGGTCTTACTGTTCACCAGAATATGCTCTGTAATTCAGTTACAATTCCAATGGTTGGGCCAATTGGGTCTTAGAGTTTTGGCTATTGGCTTTACTTTGCAAACCTTTTGCAAGTCGTTGGGCCAATTAGCCTATTACCTTTCTACTTTAGCCCATAATGGGTTCTTATTTTAATATTATTCTAATCTTACCATTCAATAAAAAAAAAGGAACTGGTAATTTATACCAATCTAACATAAAAATAAATCTCAAAAGTAATGCAAATGAGTAAAATTAAAACAAGCAGAATTTTATGAGTGAAAAATAATGAGCATGGACTCACATTCAGCATCTGGAATTTATATAATCATGAAGGAAAATTAGACCTTGATACCTTCTGAACATATGATCTCAATGTATCTTCCTTACATCATGAACCATGCCATTAGAATTGTGGTTAGCGAATCCAATATACAATGTCAAACCCTAAAGAGTATCCACTAAAAACCCTAACTATATGTTTTCAAAAAAACAACTTGGTGTGTGTCCCCTTCTTCAAGCTTTGACAATTTCCCAAGCATATTCCACCTAAATGCATAGAACAGAAAGCAAAGTGAAAGGAGGTTAAGTGAATGACAACATATCAGATAGAATCTCAGGAGTTCAATACCAAAATATTAAATTTCATCCAAGCAGTAGTTAGTTTGAGGTATGCAACCAGACAGAATTTTTATACTTAAGGCATTATCAGTAACTCAGTCGCATAGTCCTGACAATGCATTTTCGTAATTAAAAAAGAAAAGAAAAAAGAGAGGCTATAATTGAATGACATTTAAGCCACCCTTAACCCCACCCCCACCCCCCCCCCCCCCCCCCCCAAAAAAAAAAAAAAAAACACCAAACACACACACAACACCCTAAAATAGATAAATGGCCTAACATCTAGCATTAAGATGGATTTTCTTGATGTTTTCTCGTGTTACCAAATGATGGTTTGGGTACTTATGAAATACTTAAAACAAGGAAGAAAAATAATTAAATCGATTTAGTTTATAATCTAACAACATAAAAGAATAAGTAAAAGAGCTCCTCGTGAACTGCCCTAACAAAACCGCACAAAGTATAACTGTCAGCTACTAGTTGAATTTAATCCCAGGCAACTGCCATGCCAGGGCTGCAAAATT